CCTCCTGAGTGCTGGGATTAAAGGGGCAGGGTGGGGAGCAGGGAACAGGTACAGCTCAGATTTACGCCTCATGGTCCTCACGTGGCCAGGGCCAAGCAATCCCAGCGCCTCCATCTTCAGGAGAGGCAGAGGTCTCCCTGGAGATCTCAGCCGGCGGTCTCCTCACCTGGAGGTCTCTACCATGTAATCACAGAGTCCTTCATTTTTGGGTTTTCCTTTCTGCCCCCATCTGGGAACTTTGCCCTTCTAGATCCTACTCAGTGCAGCTCCACGAAGCTCTGAAACCCCAATGGCTTCTGGAATCTTCTGGGAATCCTGAGCAATCCACTGTTCCTCAAGCGTTCAACTCTGAAAGTGGTTTTAAAAATACTTAAAGATTTAGGGACCAGAGAGATGGCTCAGCAGTTAACAGCAATGACTGCTCTACCAGAGGACCCGGGTTCAATTCCCAGCACCCACGGCTCACAACTGTCTGTGACTCCAGTTCCAGGGGACCCAACACCCTCGCCCAGACACACATGCGGACAAAACACCAATGCGTATTTTAAAAACTTGAAGATTCACTTATTTTATGTCTGTGAGTGCTTTGCCTTTATGTATGTATGTGTACTATGTGTGTGCCTGGTGCTTGAGGAGGTTAGAAGAGGGCATCTGGTATCCAGATTGTAAGCCCCTGTGTGGGTGCTGGGAACTGAATTCTGGTCCTCTACAGAACCGACAAGGGCTCTTCACCACTGCGTCATTTTCTCTCCAGCTTCCCCTGCAAGGGCTTTAGCCCGTGGTCCTGCTTAGGTCTTACCATGTTCCTGAGAGACGTGCTAGTTTTGCTGTTTTACCACCTAGGAAGTTGGGTCTGGAGTGGGAAGGGATTTAACTGAGGCCACATAGCCAGGGTGGTGTGGGAATGAAGACTCCCTCTGGGTCTCCTTGCAAAGTGTGCGATCAGCATGGAACGGCCCTCCTTTGCCCACCCTCTTTAGGAGGGTAGGTGGGTTTCTATGAGTGCAGCCAGACCTGGGGACTCAGGAACTATGGATATCTATGGACTACAACCCGGAGTTGGCTCAGATTCTCCTGCTCTCTCTCTTGGCCCTAGCCTGGTACAGGCCTAGCTAGGTGGAGCCAGGTGGAGAGGGTGATGAGCAAGGAGCCATGGCTTAGCTGCTGTGCTGTCGCTGCAGCTCCCAGCCCTGCATTTGCTCCGCAACACCAGAGAATCGAGGCTTCTGAGCTGTCCCCATAACCAGACTGCAGAGCAAACTTTCCCTCCTGTTCCGTGCCTCAGTTTCCCCAAACCCACTTCCCTTCTTTTATTCTCGTTAAGCATTAAACAGTCAGGGGCAGGGGCAGGAGTATCAGCTTGCTGGTCAACCTGAGGCTGAGGAGGCGGGCTCCACTTTGGACCTGGACTGAAGAAGGCTGGTCCTGTAGGTCTCAGGAAGGAAGGGAGGGGTATAAGCTAAGCACTGACTTCAGCTCCAGGAGCCCTGCCCATCCTGCTCACGCATCAGGACTTGGCGTGAGTGCTGTCCTCTCCATCGGGGTGGTCTAGCCGGATGCTGACCAACCACCAAGCTCAGGAAATGGATAGACGCAGTCACAAAGTCCAGTGAGGCTGTCTCTGGATAGAGCAGGTAGGAGCAGGCGCCACTGGTTCTGATGAACCCACCTTGCTCCATAGTCTCAAGTTCAAACCCAGACCAGAGCGCTCTGGGCAGAGCACTAACGGGGGCTGCTATCACGGGAACTAATGGCCCTTCTTTTCAGGGCTGCCCTTGAGGCGCGATGGCTGCAGATGTGGGGAAACGACACAGCCAGCAGGAGCAGTCTTGACGGGTATGAGCCATCTGTCCTCTGTAAGGCAGGGACCGGGACATTCCCCATCCTTTCTGGGTTCTGAGCATTTTCAAAAAGGTCCACAGGGGCTTGGTGTGTGTGCCATGTGTATGTTTGTGTTCTAGAGAGGGAGCAGAGGCAGAAGGGCTCCTCACGCCCTGCGAGGTCACGGTGGCCTGCTTCTGAGTGGTGCTGAACCTTGTCAGGCCTCTGTCACTGCAGCAGCCTTTCTCCTGAAGTCCTTTGCCCTGGTTGGTCCATCTGCCGCCGAGTAGAACAGCTCTCAAAATTCTTTCTCCTGGGATTCTGAGGAACAAGGGTACCAGAGTTTCCCACAACCTCTCTATGCCAGGACTGTTTACAAATGGAGTTCTTAAGAAGCCAGGCATTGAGGGGGCGGGGTGAAGGCAGCCTTGACATGAATGAGAAGGTTCTAGGAAGCGGAGGGAGCATTGGAGACAGGAATGCAGACGGTGAGTGAGGAGTCTGACACCAGACTAGAGAGTCTCGTGTGTCCTTTCGGGTGAAGAAGTGGGTCACAGCGAGGCTTAGGAAAAGGACCAGTGTGAGAGATGGTGCACGCTGAAGAGAGGGAGATTTCCTTGGAGGACACCCGTGCCGGACACTGGGACTGGAAGGCCCTAATGAGGCTGTGTGTACTGGGGGAATTGATAGCCTGTGAGTGTAAGAGTGTTACAGGGATGAGAGTCTTAGGACTACTGACATTCAGGGGCTGAAGGGGTATGTATAGCGGTGTGTCTGAAAATGGGGGGGGGCAGAAAGAACTGGGGAACACGAAACGAAGAGTTACGTTAAAGTCAGCATAGTGCAGGTTGGTGGGCAGAGCATGGCATACCCAGGTCCCAAGGACTTCCTCTCTCAGGCTAATTTTTCTCATGTAAAATGGGATTGTTGTGAAGGCTACGGGGTGCGGGGGGAAGACACTGGTACAGCTATTTCGGTTTGGATGCAGGTAGGGTCCGCGGTGAATGGTCCGAAGTACTTCTAGCTGCGGGGGTCAGCATTGCCCCCTAGTGGCGATCTTGCAAACAACAGGCAGAGCCACTGGGCTGGCGGGGAGGGCAGCCGCTGTCAAGTCGCACGCAGCTCAGCATCTGTCTGTCTGTTTGTGGGAGCCAGGGCACAGCCAGGACCTCTGGGGCAGAAGGCATGGTAGGTAAGCGGGATGCCGGCCCTGGTCAGGGTGTTGCGGTCCGACAGGCGCGGGTCCCAGGGTGAGATGGGTGGGAACACTGTGGGACACTTCGGGGGTTGAGGGGGAGATCACTCAGCCAACCGGGTTATTTCTGTCATTTTTCTGTTTCTGGTCGTCCCAACGCTGTTGGCTGCCACCGGTGAACCTTTCTCTGGAGCATGAGGCATCTTTTTTTTGTTTGTTTGTTTGTTTTTGTTTTTCGAGACAGGGTTTCTCTGTAGTTTTGGTGCCTGTCCTGGAACTAGCTCTTGTAGACCAGGCTGGCCTCGAACTCACAGAGATCCATCTGCCTTTGCCTCCCGAGTGCTGGGATTAAAGACGTGCCACCACAGCCCTGCGAGGTATCTTTTTTGAACCCAGGTTGTCACCTGCCCATTCCCAGCTTCTCTCTTGGTGAGAGTTCTGAGTAGCTGGAACCCCAGGTGGAGTAGGTGCCAGACTGGGAATGATTCAGATGACAGAAAACAGAACCAATTTGGGACCAAAGTACAGTTTTTAGCCTTTTCACTCCTTCCCTTGATCCCTAAGGTGGCTTTCTCTCCACACCAAGGTCACCACAGCTTTCTGTTTGTCAGCCCTGCCCTTTGTGGATTAAACACCTGGAGCTGGGGAGGCCAGCTCTGCCCCGCAGCTGCTTCAGAGCCCTGGCTCTTCAAGCAATGCTGCAGTTGTGCCCAGTCTTCTGATAGTCCCGTTGTGCGGCTCCCCTGAAGTCCTTCTTGAAGGGAGACACCTGCCAGGCGACGGTGGCACACTTTTAATCCCAGCACTCAGGAGGCAGAGGCAGACGGATCTCTGTGAGTTCAAGGCCAGCCTGGTCTAGAGAGTGAGTTTCAGGACATCCAGGGCTGTTATATGGAGAAGAAAAGGGGGAGGGGATGCCCAAGGGAGATGGTCAAACCTTGGAAGTCTGTCGTTTATTCAAAGGTTTCAGTAGACTGTGATTTTCCAAGTAAAAGGCCAAGCACCATTTAAAAATGATTACAGTTATTTGTGTGTGCACGCACGTGTGTGTGTGCGTGTATGTGTGTGCGTGTGTATGTGCGTGTGTGTATGCATGTGTGTGTGTGTCCTGGCATGTGTGTAAAGGTTAGTTGAAAACTTGCTGGGGTTGTTTTGTTCTTTCTCTCATGTAGTTCCTGGGGATGAAATCACGTCATCAGACTTGGGGGAAAGCTTATTTACCTGTTAAGCCATCTCACTGGCCCCAATTTTATTTATTTATCTTAAAAATATTTATTAATTTATATTTTGCATACATTCGTGTTTTGTCATGAGTGTTGGGTCTCCTGGAACTAGAATTACAGACAGCTGTGAGCTGCCATGTGGGTGCTGGGAATTGAACCAGGGTCCTCTGGAAAAGCAGACAGTGCTCTTAACCACTGAGCCATCTCCTTAGCTCCTTTTATTTTGTTTTTTGAGACAGGGTTTCTCTGTGTAACTCTGGCTGTCCCAAAATTCTCTCTGTAGACCAGGTTGGCCTCGAACTCACAGAAGTCCACCTGCCTCTGCCTCCCAAGTTCTGGGATTAAAGGTGTGCGCCACCACCACTCTGCCTATTTTATTTTATTTTATTTTATTTTATTTTATTTTATTTTATTTTATTTTATTTTATTTTGAGACAGGGTTTCTCTGCGTAGCCCTGGCTGTCCTGGAACTCATTTTGTAGATCAGGTTGGCCTCAAACTCACAGAGATCTGCCTGCCTCTGCCTCCTGAGTGCTGGGATGGGCATGAGCCACCACTGCCCGACCTATTTTATCATTTGAAAGGCTCACACTTTTATTACCCCGTGGTTGTAATGCACTCTGCAGTAGGGGCGGTAGGTGTTCTCAGAGGCGCGGGAATAACAGCCTGTCCTCTTCAGTGTGGCATCTCCAGTGTGATGAGTTAGGACGGAGCTAGGACACTTAAATGACTTACAAGCATCTTTTCCCTTTATCCCACAGACTCCTCTCTGCCTAAACTGTTCCATCTCTCCCGGAGAGCTGTCCCCAAATGGTTCAAAGAGCCCTGTGTTCTGCAATGGCAGTGAGGTCCAGGGAAACTTTGACCCCGAGGACTTGAACCTGACGGATGAGGCCCTGAGGCGGAAGTACTTGGGGCCACAGCAGATGGAGCTGTTCGTACCCATCTGTGTCGTGTACCTGCTGATCTTTGTGGTGGGCACCGTGGGCAACGGGCTGACCTGCACTGTCATCCTGCGACACAAGGCCATGGGCACGCCCACCAACTTCTACCTTCTCAGCCTCGCTGTGTCTGACTTGCTGGTGCTCCTGGTGGGCCTGCCCCTGGAGCTTTATGAGATGCAGCACAATTACCCGTTCCAGCTGGGGGCGAGCGGCTGCTACTTCCGAACGCTGCTCTTTGAGACCGTCTGCCTGGCTTCAGTGCTTAACGTCACAGCCCTGAGCGTGGAGCGCTATGTGGCCGTGGTGCACCCGCTCCAAGCTAAGTCTGTGATGACACGGACCCACGTGCGCCGCATGTTGGGGGCCATCTGGATCCTTGCCGTGCTTTTCTCTCTGCCCAACACCAGTCTCCACGGCCTCAAGCAGCTCTTTGTGCCCTGTCGGGGTCTGGTGCCTGACTCAGCTGTGTGTACGTTGGTGCGCCCCCGACTCTTTTACAACTTGGTGATCCAGATCACCACCCTGCTCTTCTTCTGCCTGCCCATGGCCACCATCAGTGTGCTATACCTGCTCATTGGGCTGCAGCTGCGGAGGGAGAGGATGCTGCTTCAAGAGGAGGTCAAGGGCAGGAAAACTGCAGCGGCCCAGAAGACCTGCAACAGACAGCTTCCGCTTCGAGAAAGGGGCCGGAGACAGGTGACCAAGATGCTATGTAAGTGTCATTGTTGAGGAAGGAGTTGAGCCTCCTTGGGTCTGGGGAAGGAGTTGAGCGTTGAGCTTCTGGAGTTTGGAAGCTGGTCTTAGGTCCACTGTGCTTCCCAGATCTCTCTCTCTCTCTCTCTTTCTTCTTCTTCTTCTTCTTCTTCTTCTTCTTCTTCTTCTTCTTCTTCTTCTTCTTCTTCTTCTTCTTCTTCTTCTTCCTCCTCCTCCTCCTCCTCCTCCTCCTCCTCCTCCTCCTCCTCCTCCTCCTCCTTTTCCTCCTCCTTTTCTGAGACAGGGTTTCTCTGTATAATCCTGGCCATCCTGGAACTTGCTATGTGACCAGGCTGGCCTTGAACTCAGAGATTCACCTGCCTCTGCCTCCCAAGTGCTGGGACTAAAGACCTGCGCCACCATGGCCAGGCTTTCCTGTCCACTTTTCAAGGACGGGAGGATAGTGGGCGGGAGAAGCAAATGCTAAGTGAGACGCAGATCAGGGCAAGCTTCTCTTCTCCGTTCCTGCAGTTGCGCTGGTTGTGGTGTTTGGCATCTGCTGGGCTCCGTTCCATGCGGAGCGCCTCATGTGGAGCTTGGTGCCCGACTGGACCGAGAACTTACTCCTGGCCTTCCAGTTTGTACACATTACATCTGGCGTCTTCTTCTACCTCGGCTCGGCAGCCAACCCAGTGCTCTACAGCCTCATGTCCAGTCGCTTCCGGGAGAACTTCCGGCAAGCCCTGGGCCTGGGAACCCAATGCCATCGCCGCCGTCGCCAACACCGTCGTAGTTCCCATAACCTCAGCAAGTTGACCACAGGTAGCACCTATGACTTCGGTTCCCGGAACAGCAGGGCTGGACCCCTAGTTGAGAACGGGAATCAAAGATTTCACCAAGAGACAGAACTCTCCTGAGTAAAATCCCAAAGGAGGCTCACCTCCTGGGCCAGAGATCTGGGGAGCTACTGGGAAGAGCTTGGGAAGTCGGGTCAGCACCCCAGTGATTTTCACCCTGCCCACATATTTGAGTGTTGAGGGAAACAGCAAGAAGAAGAGGATTGAACCCCGACTGTCAAAGACTCAAATTGAGGGTCTTTTTGACTCAGTTTTTAATGCTTGCTGGTTTCAGAGGATCTGAGTTCAGGTCCCAGCACCCACATGGCAACTCACAATTGCCTGTAACTGCAGTTCTAGGTCATTTGACACTCTCTTCTGGTTTCTGAAGGCACCCACATGTACAGAGGATGCAATCATAAAATACAAAAACAAAACAAAAAAACCTTAAATACCGACATTGAGCCAGGCACATGCTATAACACCCCTCCACACCCCAGACCTCCGGCTAAATTCTCCCCCACAGAACCATCATGGCCCACCGAGGCCTCAGCAATTATCTCCCCGGGGATCCCTCCTTCCTCTCAAGTTCACAGATGCTTCCACAGGGGCCTAGCTGTCATTCTGGTGACTTCTGAACCTCCATAGTTTCTGACCTATCTTTCCCTCCAGCTCTTGGACTACACTTGGGACCATCCTCTCACCATGGCACTGAAATTTGAGCCTTCGAGCTGCCAGGGGGAAGAGGTTCCCAGGGATCCTGGGGACCTGGATCTAAACTCAACACCTTTGTCACCAACTTGTTGCCTCGTGGCATCGGGCGAGTCGTCTCGCCTGTCTAGGCTTTGGTTCCTTGTTGGCACAGCGAAAGGTGTGCCGAGGTGCCAGTGTCACCCTTTGGTGCCAGCTGCGTTTCATCTGTGTGCACGAAGGCTTCACCTGACCTGCATCACTACCAAACCCTGCTTGCCCTCCGACCTTCTCGTGCCCCTGCCCCAAGCTGTCCAGTGTAGTTCCTTCGCTTGTCCTGGAGCGGATAGGGAGGACAGGTGAGCACAGCAGTCCCCTTGCCTGTTGCCTTGCTTGCCTGCAGACAGACTGATCTGGCAGCCCCCGCTAAACAATGTACCAGAGATGCTGTTAGCCGGGAATCTCTGAAGCAAGAAACCTGGGCTAACCAAGGACCAGAAGTGGCCATGCAGAGACAGTGTGTTGCTTAGTCTTTGTCGACTTGACACCAACTAGAGTCACCTGGGGAGAGTGAACCTCAGTGGGGGAGTTACATCCATCGGATTGGCCTGTGGACGTGTCTGTGGGACATTTTCGTGATGATTGGTGTGGCAGGGTCCAGTCCACTGTGGGTGGTACCACTCCTGGCCAAGAGGTCCTACGCCGTCTAAAGAAAGCTGAGGGAAGGAGAGATGGCTCAGAGGTTAAGAGCACTGGCTGTTCTTCTAGAGGTCCTGAGTTCAATTCCCAAAACTGCACAGTGGCTCACACCATCTGTAATGAGATCTGATGTCAACACTGTACACATAAAAAGTAAATAAATAAGTAAATTTTTTTTTAAAAAAAAAAGCTGAGCAAGCTATGGGGGAACAAGCCAGTCAACCCAATTTTCCCATGGCTTCTGCTCCAGTTCCTGCCTCTTGGTTCCCCGTGATGATGGACAGTAAGCTGAAATAAACCCTTTTCCTCCCCAAGTTGTCTCTGGTCAGTATTTTATTACAGAACAAACTGCAAATGAGGACACGCAGGTCTACTAAAGGGACTGAGGGTCAGGGACAATACTTGAAATTCTATGCCATTCTGAACTTCAGGGACAACCTGGTGCTCAGGAGGGACCCAATGAATGGACGGACCGTGTCCTGCTGCAAGTTGCTGGGTCTTGTCCTGAAAGCCCTGGTGTCCACAGTTGGGGGCTGCACAGGGACCCTGTAGACACCAGTCTATAGTGATGCCCTAGGTTCCAGGCCTGTCCAGTGGAGGAGACGGTAGCAGGTGGCTTCACCAGTCAGTTTCATATCGCCATGACAAATGCCTGCCAGAAACACCTTATAGGCAGGGAGCTGGGCATGGTGACTCATGGCTATAATCTCAGCACCTTGGAAGTGATGACAGGATGGTCATGAGTTTGCAGCTAGTCTGGGCTACACAATGAGATTCCCCACCCAAAGACCAAATAAACAAATAAGATTTCTTTTGGCTCAGGGCTCCAGTCTATCATATCATATCATATTATATTATATTATATTATATTATATTATATTATATTATAATATTAATAATGGCCGGCTCCATTATTTCTACCTACATCGAGAGAGAAGGGTATGGTGAGGTTGAGTTTCTTATCTCAAGGTATCCAGGAAGCAGAAAAAATACATTATTTTTTTTCTCCCAGGGCATAACCTCCAGTGACTTACTTCTTACAATTTAGCCTTACCTCTAGAAGTTTCCATCACCCTCCAGTAATAACATGAAGTTATAATTCCATCAATAGAGCACTTATAACCCAATCATTTCCTCAAAACTCCACTTCCAAACCTAGTTTAGTTACACTGGACATGTGCACTGGGAACCAAGACTTCAACACATGAGCCTGTGGGGGGGGGTGTAATATCCACAGCATAACAACTGCAAATATGTTGTTTACACATCCATACAAATAATAAACACTTACTGTAGAAAATGTGGCTGGAGAGATGGTTCAGTGGTTAAGAGCACTGGCTGTTCTTCCAGTGGTCCTGAGTTCAATTCCTAGCAACTCCATGGTGGCTCACAGCCGTCTATAATGAGATCTGGTGCCCTCTTCTGGCCTACCAGCATACATGCAGGCAGAACACTGTATACATAACAAATAAATAAATAAATAATCTTTTTTTAAAAAATAAGAAAATGTGGAAATGTAAATAAGCAAGTGTGGAAGAAAAAAATGGGTTGGGAGGAACTGGACAGATGGGCCAGCCCATAAGGCGTGAGGATCTGATTCAATCTTCAGAACCAATGGGATAATGCCTGGTGTCACAGTGGCCTGTGATACTGAGGATGGCATTTGAGGTTGTCCTCCAGCTTTTACAAACACACATGCACAGGTGCAGAGACTCATATGTGTGCATGCACACACACATGCATGTATACATCCCACATACAGAATACAAGCATATGCATTCACCTGTCTGCACGCACACACGCACACACACACAAGTGCACAGGCATACTTTTTTTTTCCCCCGAGACAGGGTTCCTCTGTGTAGCCTTGACTGTCCTGGAACTAGCTCTTGTAGACCAGGAGACCAGGCTGCCCTCGAACTCTCAGAGATCCGCCTGCCTCTGCCTCCCGACTGCTGGGATTAAAGGCGTGCACCACCACTGCCCATGCATACATTTTTGAAAGCACTTTCTCCAGGGGCTGTAGAGAAGCAGGAATAAGAACTTGCTTAATGAGTACAGAACTTCTGTTTTGCGAGATGAAAAGCTCTGGAGGTCAACTGCACAATTATTATCCCTAATAATACTTACACGAGTTAGCTCTCCTAGATCTGTGACGAAATAGCTGTTAGAAGCAACGTGAGGAAATGGCTTAAGGGGTCTAGTCCATTGGTGGGGATGGCGGTGTTCACGGTGGTAGGAGTGTGCAGCCACGGCTCCCACACCTGGACAGACCAGGAAACAGGAAGGTGGAAATGCTGAGGTTCGGTCAGCTTTCTCCCTTTCCTATTTTTATTCAGTCCAGTACCCCTGCCCATGGGATGGTGCTGCCCACATTCAGAGTGAACCATCTCTCTCCAGTTAAACAGAGATGCCCAGAAGTGTGTCTCCTAGGTGACTCCAAATCCAGTCAAACTGGCAACGCAAATGAAACACCACAACACTGACCCATCCGTTTAAATGGTTAAGATGGTAAACTTACTGGGTGGTGGTGGTGCACACCTTTAATCCCAGCACTCGGGAGGCAGAGGCAGGTGGATCTCTGTGAGTTCGGGGCCAGCCTGGTCTACAAGAGCTAGTTCCAGGACAGGCTCCAAAGCTACAGAGAAACTCTGTCTCGAAAAAAAAAAATGGTAAACATGTTGTGTATATTTTATCACAATTTTTCCATCACTTTGCTCTATTGTATATAATTTGGCATATTTCCTCCTAAGAGTGTTTTTATCTGGCTGTTCTTGCCTTCTATAAACAAGTCTGTCCTGTTTTTTCCATAGATGATGGATGATCCAAAGTCAAGGGTGCAACTCATTTGACCCAGGGGCTCCGCTGTGGCCGGCCTTGGCCAGACTGAGAAAGCCCCCTGAGTCTCATATAAGCTACAGTGTGGAGAAATTCTCAGGTCCTGGCCCAACAAGGTCCCACTCCCTACTGTCTTCTGTGCTTGGAAGAGCTGACCAAACCCAGCAAAGAAAAGCCACCCTCCCTGCTAAAGCTACCATCGCAAGGATTCCGGCTAACCAGATGGGAGGCACAGGGGCCAGGGATAGACAGTGAAGGTTGGGGTGGAAGTGTGAGGGTTCTCTGAAGGCACTGGGAGAAGTAGGGACGTCAAGGAGACTGCCTCTGGATCGTGGAACTGAGAGAAAAGCTGGCTGTAGGAAGGGAGTTTCCTCAGTGGGTGATCCTGGATGTATGGAGACAGGGTGCCCTCCACCTGAGCACCTAAGCAGACTTACAGAGCGGTGGCAGTAGGCCAGGCCAACGACTGGAGGGACAGGAGAGATTCTGTGAACAAAGGAGCCTGTGAAAAGTGCTATTTAAGCTGGGCGGTGGTGGCGCACGCCTTTAATCCCAGCACTCGGGAGGCAGAGGCAGGCAGATCTCTGTGAGCTCGAGGCCAGCCTGGTCTACAAGAGCTAGTTCCAGGACAGGCTCCAAAGCCACAGAGAAACCCTGTCTCGATAAACCCCCCCCCCAAAAAAAAGAAAGGAGGGAAGGAAGGAAGGCTATTTAGCTATTGAGAGCTGATTGTCAAAGGACCACCTCTCTCACAAGCACTGGGTAGCCTGTGGGTAGATGCTAAAACTGTTGCCAGAGACCAGCTCTGTTCAGTGATAGAAAAGACAGTGTTCATGAAGAGTGGAATCCGTGTGTGTGTGAGTGTGTGTGTGTATGAGTGTGTGTGCGCGCGTGTGTGTGAAGGGTTGTCCCATGCCGAGAAGCACAGGCAGAAGAGGAATAACATACTCCTTGTTGTGAATTTGCCACGTCTTTTGAGGGTGTCCACAGGCTGTCAGTGGCCAGGTTCTGCGCATCCTCAGTGGCCATGAAAAGGAAACAGCAGCTGAGTTCAGTCCTTGAGAAAAATGTCTAGAATGCAGAAGACAGCAGCCATCCCTACCTAGGGCACACATAGGGGATGGTCAGGGGCATCAACCTTGTATTCCTTCTAGAAGGCTCTGCTGCTCCTGTGCCTTGTCAGGGTGGAGCTTTGAGCTCCGTGGATTTAAAAGGCCACTCTTAGGCTAGGATCTGACTCTCTTGAAAGTGTATGGTTTATTTAGTATGCTGTCATCACGCCCCTTTCTCATAGAATTGGGTCCATCTACACACCGCTCCTGCATGACCATAAATGACAACGAGGGCCATGTGGATGACCTCACTGCCTCCAAGTGTTTCTGCTGCTCTAGAGACCTCTCTCCCACTCGACTTTCTGGCCTGTGGCCACCCTGTTAATTGTCTTGTAAGTTAGGTAAGTGTTTAGTGAGGCACCGAATCTAAAATGTAGACAGGGCCGAGGAGGTAGTTAGTAGTACCGTAGTTAAAGTGCTTGCTGTTTGGAGTTCAGATCCACGGAAATCCACGGAAATGCCAGGTGTGTGTGGTGCCCCGGTTGGAATTCTAGTCTCAGAAGGTACAGACAGGGCACCCCAAAGCAAGATGGCTAGCAGCATTATGTCTGAGCTCTGGGTTTGATGGACACCCGTCCTCAGTACAGAAGATAGAAGAGGAACCAATGGAAGACGGAGCCAAGATAACTCCTGATATCAGCCTTGGGCCTCTATATGCACAAATATACACCACATATGTAATTGGATGCATACATACATGTCCATTACACACACTCGAAAAAGGGGCAATCCAGGGTTCCTTGCCTAGGAACAGTTTCCCTCAACCTCCCAACACACACACACACACACACACACACACACTCCCCAAGCTGAACTGTGAGACTATATCTTAGGTGTGTTTCTGCTATTAAGGACAACACCTCTTATACCTAAGCCTGGCCTCAAACTCTCCATGAAGCCAAGAATGATGATGAACTCCGGATCTTGTCTCCACCTCTTCAGGACCACCACACCTGGCTGATTCCTGGGATTTTTCACCCACAGTTCTGGGTTGTTGTCAAAACTTATCAAGGATGATGTAATTTTAAAGTACTAGGTAACAGCACTCAGTAGGTCGAGGCAGATGGATCTCTGTAAGTTTGAGGTCAGCCTGGTCTACAGAGTAAGTTCCAGGACAGCCAGAGCTACATAGTG